AATAAAAATATTAGTCACTTAAAGACATAAAAGTTCAGGGTATCTTTCCCAGGACAGAATTGATGTAGGTGCCTTTCACTACCTACTTCAGAGTGATGCTGGGAAGTTTCAATAACAAAAGTAAAAGCACTTTATCCATTGCAAAGCTCTGTATGCATGTGAATTCTCCTTACTTTTCTAATTATTCTTGGATAGTCACTTTAAAGAAACAGAAGAACTCCCCATCTGGAAATTGGAAGTAACACTTCACATGGTTGTGGCAAAGGGTCAATGAAATGATGTTATCTGGAAACTGAAAATCCTGTTACAGGATAGGCGAGGGCTCTTCTGCTAATGCCTCACTTTACAGGCTGTATTTTTTGGTTTGTTTCTTCCAGTTTTTGTCTCATGTCCTTATTAAGCTTAGTGACCGTAGGCAGGTAGTTTCGTTTGCATGCACATATTTTATTGACTTGTGGTAGCCTATTGATTGAGTGGCTTTTTAGCTTCTGCTTGTTCAAACTGACTTCTCGGAGCTGCTTATTGGGTTTTTAAGTAAACCATGGTTTATTTAGAAACATCTCCCCAATGGGGACAGAGCTTAAAAAGAAAGAAACTATAGGAATTTTACCTTCTCTCAACCCATTAATGGGTGTTTTTGAACCCTAATGGATTAATGGATATTTGTAGAAGTTCAGAGTTGACAATATAGAGCCTGAGTTTAGAACTTGGTACATTATTTACCAGAGACATATTAACACCGGAGGCATTGGTTTCTGCAAAAATCCCCTGGTCAATAACATGTTAAGAAACTTTTAAATGGTTTTCTAACCTTTCTCCTTAATTACTATACATAGATCACATAAACATTTATCTGCTACCAACTTGGTAATATATATCTTACATATACAGGCACACAAACTCTGAACTCATACACTGCAACCTCTTCTGTTGCCAGCTAGGAATACCCACCACTCACTCATTTTATCATCTAGAGGAACTAACAGCAGTTACAGTTCAGAAATTGCAAATTGGTTGTCTGTGGCATGATTTTGGCTTCATCTATGTTTTGTTTGGCCCTCTCAAGTTTTTTGTTTTAATTTAATTAGTAGTTAATATGTCCATATTCCAAAACTTCACACAAATTTTCACCTGGATTGCCAACTTGTCTTGAAAAATGGAATGAATTGCCTGGTGCACTGGGAAGACCCAGAGGGATAGGGCGGAGAGGGAGGTGGGAGGGGGGACCAGGATGGGGAATACATGTAAATCCATGGCTAATTCATTTCAATGCATGACAAAAACCACTGCAATGTTGTAAAGTAATTAGCCTCCAACTAATACAAATAAATGGAAAAAAAAAGAAAAGAAAAAAAAAAGAAAAGAAAAATGGAATGAATTGGTAATAATTCATTCAATAATCCCCTAGAACTTAGCAGCAACTGGGCTTGGGCTCGCCAGTTCCCCTGCTAGGTTGTTGACTCTTTTGTAACCAGCTAGCCTTCTATGGTCATTGAGTAGACAGGCCTGAACTTAAAACTAATGCATTCATAAAGACCAGTTTAATATCATGGAACAGAGAGGAGATAATTGTGATTTGGCCGGTGTACCAATGGCAGGATGTGTGAGTGGATAGCCACTATCTTAGTGGAACCTCTCATTTGAACCAAAAGGTAAACATTTAATACGATGGACATGAAGCTCCCAAAGCTCCTTCAAATGATTCTCTGAGCTCATATAACTTCATATTTGTCTACATGGATTATCTGTCCCTCTACCTCCAGGGAAGGTGCTTGCAACTTCTTTAGCTGCTCCTAAGGGCCTAGTAAACAGTGAGGTCAATAGTAGGAGCTCAGAAAATATGAAGCATTCTATCCAGTGATAGATGCACCATAAAGTCTTTCTTTTACTGTACATCTGTGTCTCTTTTTCTGTTTTGCATATAGGGTTATCATTACCATCTTTCTAAATTCCATATATATGCGTTAGTTGGACTCTGTGGGAGAAGGCGAGGGTGGGATGTTTCGAGAGAACAGCATTGAAACATGTATATTATCTAGGGTGAAACAGATCACCAGCCCAGGCTGGATGCATGAGACAAGTGCTCGGGCCTGGTGCACTGGGAAGACCCAGAGGAATCGGGTGGAGAGGGAGGTGGGAGGGGGGATCGGGATGGGGAATACATGTAAGTCCATGGCTGATTCATGTCAATGTATGACAAAACCCACTACAATACTGTAAAGTAATTAGCCTCCAACTAATAAAAATAAATGAAAAAAAGTCTTTCCTTTTAAGTATAGCAATATGAAGTTTATTAAAGTAAACTAACATGCATGCAATTAAAGCTATCCAGTCCTTACAATTAGAGTAGCTAGATATTGGTTACATGGCTTTTACCCTGAAAGAAAACAATTCTTAGTTAACTGAATCACCTGTCATTTTCTTTCTTTTCTTTTCTTGACCGTGACAAATGCTGAGTTCATGAAATGAGAACTGAACATTTTGATGATTTGCTTTGTCTCCAGATTAATGGATTAATTAGCTAATTAATTAACTGGTTTTCTGTGTGCCTAGGTGGATAACATGATTAATTAGTAGGGCACAAGTAAAGGAAGAAAAGGGAACATTTCTTAAGTACCAGGAAGGGGAATTAAACAGTGATCATTACTACAGGTTGACAGAAGGAAGTAGCTGGTGAGAAGAGGCTGAATTCTATTTGTTTTAGTATGTCAAATCATAGGGTATGGCAATTTTCTGAGGGAACCAGAGGGTCCAGGGTTCTGGGAGTCTTCTAGAGAAACAAATCCCCTTCCTCATTTCATCATTGCCACCTCACCCCACCATCCTAATCCTGAAAGCAAAGGAGGAGATGGAACCTGGGTATGGCAGCAGGGGTAAGAAAAAGCAGTTGAAATTAAGAGATGTTTTAAACTTAAAATGGAATGGGGGAAATATCCAGCCAAAAACTGTAAATAAACTATTACAAAGGATACCATACATGGTAAAATAAGAACAAAGGAAGAATTTAGCAATTGACAAAGTAAAATAGCTTGGGAAAGGGGAAGAAATAACAGATGTGGCTTCAGTTGTACAAAGTTGGAGCACTTAAAAATTTGAACTTAAGTCTTTGACAGAGAGAAGTAAATATGACTGACTAGGTATCATGAAGACTTAGTGTGGAACAATATATGGCATAAAGTTGAAAAGATTGGGATAGAGAATATCAAATGCCATCATTGAGAATATATTCCATAGGCCATCCGACCAGAGGAAGAATGATGGACTCACAGAGCTTACACAGAGTTGTTTTCTCATTGATGACTCAATTTCTTTTTTTTTTTTCCATTTATTTTTATTAGTTGGAGGCTAATTACTTTACATCATTACAGTAGTTTTTGTCATACATTGAAATGAATTAGCCATGGATTACCTCCCTTCGAAGACAGTGGGCTGCTTTTCTGGGCGCCTGATGTCCTCTGCTAGCGATCAGAAGTTGTTTTGTGAAATTTGCTCAGCATTCAAATGTTCTTTTGATGAATTTGTAGGAGAGAAAGTGGTCTCTCCGTCCTATTCCTCCGCCATCTTGGCTCCTCCTCCGATGACTCAATTCCAACAATTTAAATGTAATTTCTCACTCTCCATGCCACATTCCCACAAGATCTTTTTATCTGTTTGTCTTGACTCCTTGGCACCATTCTTTTGTAAACATCTCAAGGGTGGTACAATAACTTGGAAACTCCTATAGGTTATCAAGATGATTCAGGTAAACTTTGATTGCTGTGAACTGACTTTTCAATTGACATACAGAGGCTCTGTCCGTTAGTACTAGCTTATTGGTTAAAGAATTGAACAGATAGTATAACAGATGTGGGTATATTTGGGAGAGTGGGAGTAGCAAATGATTGTTTAAGTGGGTCCCAAACTTAAATACCTGCTGGAATCGGGTGCCCCATCTAAAGGGAGAAGCTGCTACTCTGTTCCCGCAGACTGTTGCCATGTGAAAATGTAGGTCCCCTGTTACCAGATGTTCAGATTTTTTAAATAGAAACTTGGATGTTTATTTTATATCTTCTGCTTTTTAAATATCATCAATTAATTAAGAACTGAAAAACACAAGGTGGGCCAAACAAACGCTTCCACAACCACCAAATGGTGAATTCTAATTTAGATGATGGATGGAATTCATGGTAGAGCCTTGATTTTATGAATTAAGTCTGTCTCTTCGTCCATTCAACATGGGCTTATTTACAGCTCGGTGGGTGTGAGTTCTCCCAAATGGTAGTCTTGCATGTTGACTTGTATCCCATAAGGTTACATTGGGGAAAGCCTCCCCAACGGTAACATGGTAAGCAGAATCTATGCTTGGTTAGAATCAATCTGTTCGACAAGTAACAGAAAAATCAGTTGGTAAAACTAAGAGATATGTAAATAAAGTAATAAGATGGTAATTCTTTTTCATGCACTTTTTGCTCTCACCAGATCATGAATCCCTTGATGGCTATGGTAAAGACTTGGGATTTGGTTCTAAAACTGTTGGGAAGCTACTGGAGGCTTGCAAGCAGGAAAGGATATGATCCAACTTATTATTCAAAAAGAACACTCTAAAATAGCAGATAGGAAAGCCCCTGTCTAGGCCTGCAACCTGAAGACTTCCAAAATATCTGCCCTTACTGAACTCAGCCTCTCCCCCAACCATTTGTTCTTCCCTAGGAATGTAGCTCTTATATTTATATGTTCTGTCTCTCATCCCCTCCTCCTACCACAAATGAAAATGTTTTCCATGGTTGTTGGGCCATGTGTCCTAAGAAACTTAGAGCCTATATGATTTGGAATGTGTTATCCAAGGGTAACTAATGCTTTTTCTGAATAAACTAACTACTCTGTATTCTTGCCTGGCCCTTAGGCCATTTCTCAGATATGTGACAAAGCCTTCCAGGTATCTGAACTTCTCAAATGAGAGGACAAGTGATATGGTCTTGCAAATTGACCTAATTACTCAAAGCTATTCTTCTATCTTTCAGAAAATACTGAAGGAAGGACCTCTGCTAAAGAACTGCAGCTCATTCAAGAGATGGAAGCTTAGATATTTTCTGGTTCGAGGACAAAGGCTCTGCTTTGCACACCATCCTGCGGTAAGAGAATACACACACACACACACACACACACACACACACATGTGTATGTATATTTATACAATCTTGTCAATTGTGTTAGTAGGCAGGTACCAGGAAATATTTTGAGAGGAGATAAACCAAGAGGTAAAGACATGTTAGCAAGAATTAAGGTGGATAATCCTAATCTGCTCCACTATGTCCCTAGCTAGACCATATCCCATTATGTTGTTGCTGTTCAGTCCCTAAGTCATCCTGGACTCTTTGCAACCCCATGGACTCCAGGCTCCCCTGTCCCCACTACCTCCAGGAGTTGGCTCAAATTCATATCTATTGAGTCAGTGATGCTATCTAATCATCTCATCCTCTGCTACCCCCGTCTCCTTTTGCCTTCAGTCTTTCCAAGCATCAGGGTCTTTTCCAATCTTTACATCAGGTGGCCAAAGTATTGGCGCTTCAGCTTCAACATCAGTCCTTCCAATGAATATTCAAGGTTGATTTCCTTTAGGATCAACTGGTTCGATCTCCTTGCTGTCCAAGGGACTCTCAGAAGTCTTCTCCAACACCACATTTCAAAAGCATCAATTCTTTGGTACTCAACCTTCTTTATGGTCCAACACTCACATCCTTACATGACTACTTGAAAAAATATAGTTTTGACTAGACAGACCTTTGCAGGCAAAGTGATGTCTCTGCTTTTTAATATGTTGTCTAGGTTTGTCACAGGTTTCCTTTCAAGGAGAAAGCATCTTTTAATTTCATGGTTGCAATCACTGTCCACATGATTTTGGAGCCCCAGAAAATAAAATTTGTCACTACTTGCACTTTTTCGTGTTCTATTTACCATGAAGTGATGGGACCAGAGGCCATGATCTTAATTTTTTGAATGTTGAGTTTCAAGCCAGCTTTTTCCCTCTCCTCTTTCACCCTCATCAAGAGGCTCTTTAGCTTCTCTTTACTTTCAACCATTAGAATGATATCATTTGCATATCAGAGGTTGTTGGTATTTGTCCTGACAGTCTTGATTCCAGCTTGAGCTTCATCCAAGCTTCATCCAGGATTTGAAATAGCTAAGCTGGAATTCCATCACCTCCACTAGCTTTGTTTGTAATGATGCTTTCTAAGGGCCACTTTCACAGCGTCATCTTTTAGGATTTGAAATAGCTCAGCTGGACTTCCATCACGTCCACTAGCTTTGTTCATAGTGATGCTTTCTAAGGCCCACTTGACTTCGCATTCCAGGATGTCTGGCTCTAAGTGAGTGATCACACTATCATGGTTTTCTGGGTCGTGAAGAGCTTTTTTTGTATAGTTCTTTGGTGTATTCTTGCCACCTGTTCTTAATATCTTCTGCTTCTGTTAGGTCCATACCATTTCTGTCCTTTATTGTGCCCATCTTTGCATGGAATGTTCCCTTGACATCTCTAATTTTCTTCACCAGGTCTCCAGTCTTTCCCATTCAATTGTTTCCCTCTATTTCTTTGCATTGATCACTGAGGAAGGCTTTCTTATCTCTCCTTGCTATTCTTCGGAACTCTGCATTCAGATGGATATCTTTCCTTTTCTCCTTTGCCTTTCACTACTCTTCTTTTCATAGCTTTTTGTAAGGCCTCCTCTACAACCATTTTCCCTTTTTGCATTTCTTTTTCTTGGGGATGGTCTTTATCTCTGCTTCCTGTACAATGTCATGAACCTCTGTCCATAGTTCTTCAGGCACTCTGTGTATCAGATCTAATCCCTTAAATCCATTTGTCATTTCCACTGTATAGTCATAAAGGATTTGATTTAGGTCAAACCTGAGTGGTCTAGTGGTTTTCCCTACTTTCTTAAGTTTAAGTCTGAATTTTGCAATAAGGAGTTCATGACCTGAGTCACAGTCAGCTCCTGGTCTTGTTTTTGCTGACTGTATAGAGCTTCTCCATCTTTGGCTGAAAAGAATATAATCAATCTGATTTCAAATCCTAAAAGATGATGCTGTGAAAGTGCTGCACTCAATATGCAAGCAATTTTGGAAAACTCAGCAGGGGCCACAGGACTGGAAAAGGTCAGTTTTCATTCCAATCGCAAAGAAAGTCAATGCCTGAGAATGCCCAAACTACCATACAATTGCACCCATCTCACACACTAGCAAAGTAATGCTCAAAGTTCTCCAAGCCAGACTTCAACACAGTACATGAACCGTGAAATTCCAGATGTTCAAGCTGGATTTGGAAAAGGCAGAGAAACCAGAGATCAAATTGCCAACATCTGTGTTGGATCATTGAAAAAGCAAGAGAGTTCCAGAAAAACATCTATTTCTGCTTTATTGACTATGCCAAAGCCTTTGACTGTGTGGATCACAACAAACTGTGGAAAATTCNAGAACTGACTCATTTGAAAAGACCCTGATGCTGGGAAAGATTGAGGGCAGAAGAAGGGGATGACAGAGGATGAGATGGTTGGATGGCATCACTGACTCAATGGACATGAGTTTGAGTAAACTCCAGGAGTTGGTGATGGACAGGGAGGCCTGGCATGCTGCAGTCCATGGGGTCGCATGCAAAAGTCAGACACGACTGAGGGACTGAACTGAAGGCCCACTTGACTTCACACTCCAGGATGTCTGGCTCTAGGAGATTGACCACACCCTCATGGTTATCTGGATCAATAAGACCTTTTCTGTATAGTTTTTCTGTGTATTCTTGCCACCTCTTCTTAATCTCTTCTGCTTCTGTTAGGTTCTTAGTGAGCCACTTCATTCTTTCTGGCCTGAGTGCATGCTAAATCACTTCAGTTGTGCCCGACTCTTTGCAACCCTAGGTACTGTAGCCTGCCAGGCTCCTCTGTCCATGGGATTCTCCATGCAAGAACACTGGAGTGGGTTGCCATGCCCTCCTTCAGGGGATCTTCCTGAGGCAGGGATCAAATCTGCATCTCCTGCAGCTCCTGCATTACAGGCAGATTCTTTACCCCTGGGCCACCAGAGAAGCTTCATTCTTTCTGGAGCTATTAGTAATTGCCCTGAACTCTTCTCCAGTAGCATATTGGACACCTTTCAACCTGGGAGCTCGTTTTCCAGTGTCATACCTTTTTGCCTTTTCATACTGTTCATGGAATTCTCCAGTCAAGAATACTGGAGTGGGTTGCCATGCCCTACTCCAGTGGACCACGTTTTGTTAGAACTCTTCACTATGTCCTGTCCATCTTGGGTGGCCCTGCATGGCATGGCTCATAGCTTCCTTGAATTATGCAAGGCCCTTCACCATAACAAGGCTGTGATCCATGAAGGCAATATCCTACTATATTCTCCAGCATAAACCTTTAGTTTTAAATAATCCTGAACTACATAAGCTTTCCTATAAATCCACATAAAAGTTTTGGGAAGAGTTGAGTTTTTGGCTTAGTTTGGTTAATTTTCTGTTTGTTACATGATATATAAATCAAAATCATGATGCTAAATAAATCCAGCACTCAAGCCAAAGAAATAATGGGATTATAACTGCCAAAAATGCCTGTTAGTGTGCCTGTGTGTTTGTTTACTTTTTAGTGTATCTTTGCCTCAATAACCAGATGGTTCCTTTTCCCTCTCCCTCTCATACCTTTCCAGTTTGCACGCTTTGAAACAATTGATTTGTCTCAAGTTGCCTTGGCAGAAAGCAGCTGTAGAAACCTTTGCCACAGTTTTTGCGTAAGTAAGATTAGGATTGCCTGAATGGGCAAGGGTGAGAGATAGCTGGGAAGAGGGGTCTCCATACCCACCTGTCGCCTATTTGGAATTCAAATTTCCCAAGTCTTCTTTGATCCCAAAGTGTGTTTGGAAATCCACTTAAAGTAGCATTGCAAATGAGTGCTAAAGATTTTTCGTGTGAGTATTTTCTATCAGCCCACTGATGGGGGAAAAACATGATTGCCCTGGTCTCTATTACCAGTTTGATATAAAAGCAGAGCTGATTTCAGGAGTGGGGTGGCTATTTTCAAAAATCAGTCCTTCTGGTGAAGGTAATTTAAATGAATATCATTGGGAGGCTTTCAAGAGACTGCTAATATGTTGTATACTATATCAAGATATTTGAGCTACATGACATTCTCTCCTTTGATGAAACATAAGAACCTAAATCCAAAGCGAAAGTTACTCTATGCTGAAATTACTAATGAGAGTACCTCAAAGAAAGCAGAGGATTTTCTAGGGATGTATTCAAGGGCATTTCACTGCTAAAATGTCATAAGACGGTCATTCAGGTAAATTCAGAACAGAAATCTCACTGAAAAATAACAAATCTATTGGCCCAAGAATTCTCCTACCCATCTCCTCACAAAACTGTTTTTTTCTCAGCCTCAGTGGTGGGTTATGGAGAGCAGGATCCCTCTTCAGGCAGGTGGAGAGTGGTACTTAGCAGACTAAAGAGCTATGGGCCCAATACCCTGCTTCCATGGCTGGTCCACAGTCTATTTTCCTTTGAAAGGAGAGCAGTTGAAAGGAGACCCTACTCTCATTTCCCTCTCATTGCATCATACTGACCCAGGAGAAAGCTGAGGGTTCTGTTGACCCAGTTCCAAAAATCTTAACTTTTTAGTGATAAGCATACAAGATAATGTTTAGGGTATCCATTCTACAAAAATTCCAAGGGCTAGGTTTCCCCTTAGCCTAATTAAAACACAGAGACACTATGCATCAACCCCACGTAAGAATGGGTTTAGACCCAAGGAGTGACTGTTGTTACTAATTCCAGCTAGTCCCTATTGCCATTATCACAGAATCATGCTGTGCTACATTCACAAGAAGAACAAAATTGTCTGTTGGTGTGGTGAGCTCTAGCTGCCAGATTTGGGCTTGGGGTGGTGGGCACTGGTAATGAAGATAAGTAGGGTCATTGAAGCAATGGCTGATGCTATAGATATCCATGCTCCCCCCTGCCCTTTGGGAAAAGATGATGTTAGCATGGTCTACCTCTGCTAGACCCTCAACATGGCTTTCTCATTGTTTCTGCAAGGTTCTTACACCAAGCAGGATTAAGAGAGATAACAGTAAAATTCTCTTCAGATTTTCCCTAACCATAAGAAAGAAACAAACTGGATTTGTAGTTTCCTCACTGCAGTCTCACTCTCCCCTCGAACAGAAATAGGCACACCCTGATGAAAATTAAACACTTTTACCATTTCAGGTAGATAGAGCAGCAAGTAAGATTTACAGGCAACTTTATTTGAGTAACAGATGGGTGCTTGGCCTAGTGTTTAAGAACATGTGTGCTGGAGCCAAAGCATCTAGATTCAAATTCTGGCTTAGTTTCTTACCTACTGTTTTGCCCTGAGCAAGTCATTTAACTCCCTTTGCCACAGAAAAAAATACCCTGACTATAAAGTGAGGGAAAATAATACTGCCTAGCTCTTGGATTTGTAATGAAGATTGAAATAAATAAGATACATAAAGTACAATAGAAGAGTGCCCAGTACATAGTAAGTGCCTTTAAATTGTTGTTTATTACTGCTATTAGTTGGGGTGGCTCTAGGAACTGCTGTCATATATTTAAGAAGTTGCTTTGGGTGTGCTTGGTAAACCTGTCTAGTATCTTAGAGAGTTCAAACGTTCTGTTTGGGGGTAAAGTTTGAGTTGGGAACCAGCTAATAATGTGACTTTCTGTAGGTGATCACACCACAACGAAAAGTTACGCTGGCTGCACCCAATCGGAAAGACATGGAAGAATGGATTAACGTCATAAAAACCGTGCAACAGGGAGAAATTCGTAAGGTAGGAAAAATAATAGAGAATCCACTCAACTCTCATGGGTAAACACTTAATTGACTGCATTAGCTAAGCCACCTTTCAAACAGGGAAATAATAAAATGGAAGCAGATACCATCTGATCAGGAATTTTGGATGTATATCATTAGGAAATCTGTCTATAAATAGAATTACTTCACTTAGACTCAAACCTTGGTAAATATGCGGTTTAGATACCTCTGTACACATCCACTTTATACATAGATGTCCCTGTTTGCTCAATGGATGAGGTACTCAAGATGTATGTGAGAAGCTAACTTAGGTATTCTTATGTTATTAATAGCATAGCTGCAATCAGCAGTCTTGACTTGAGTCTGCTGAGTGACTATAGTAACAACTAAGGAAACTGAGGCTCAAGGATAAGGAACCAGACCAAGACAAAATAATTACTCAGTTGCAAAGCCAAGATTTAGACACAGGCTATGTGAATCCAAAGCCTGTGTCTCTAACCATTATGCCTTTCTGCCTCTGTTTACCATTCACAACAAAGGAAATGTAGAGGGAGGAGCAAGGAACAGTCTTCCCCATAGCATGGCAGGGTTCCTTTTCTCCTTAACAATACCAAGCCCTGGGCTACCGCTCCCTGCAACAAGTGGTGCTACCATTGCAACTCTGGGCTATGCCCTCTGCTCAGTCTTCTACAGACCTACCGCACTAGAAGTTATGTAAGTTCCAAGAGGGGAGAGATTTTTGTCATTTATTTACTTAGAGCAGTGTCTGGCACATAGTAGAGGCTCAGTAAATACTCTTTGAATGAATAAATGAATCTGAGGGTAATCTTGGGCCCAGGGTTTAGAAAGAGAGTGGTCTATAGTTCATCCTAAAGCAAAGTTCTGCTGTGAAGGTTTTAGAGATAATGGGGAAGATTAATTCAAACTTAAAAAGAAACTGATATATAGGAGAAAAGGCCCTGTGGTACTCAAGAGGAATAATGGATTCTATAATCCCATAATCATAAGCTAGCAAACTTTATAAAAACCATTAAAAAGAAGTACAGAGAACCTATATATGAAAGGGGTCAAGTTTTCCAGTAAAATGCTAATGTTTTATTGTTTGAGAATTCAGGTTTTCTTTCTCTACTTATTAGCAAAAATGCACATAAAAGTTAAAAAAGATAACCTTATGTCTTAAGTAACTAGTAAAGGGTCGAGGATTGTTACAGATATTTGGGGTGAAACAGTGTAAAATAATAGGTAGTAATGTTGTTCAGTCGCTCAGATGTGTCTGACTCTGGGACACCATGGGCTGCAGCATGCTAGGCTTCCCTATCCTTCACCATCTCCTGGAGCTTGCTCAAACTCATGTCCATTGAGTCAGTGATGCCATCCAATCATCTCATCCTCTGTCATCCCCTTCTGCTGCCTTCAATCTTTCCCAGCATCAGGGTCTTTTCTAATGAGTCAGTTCTTTGAATCAAGTGGCCAAAGTATTGGAGCTTCAGCTTCAGCATCAGTCCTTCTAACGAATATTCAGGACTGATTTCCTTTAGGATTAACTCGTTTGATCTCCTTGCAGTCTAAGGGACTCTCAAGAGTCTTCTCCACACCACAACTCAAAAGCATCAATTCTTTGGCACTCAGCTTTCTTTATAGTCCAACTCTCACATCCATACATGACTACTGGAAAAACCAAAGCTTTGACTATATGGACCTTTGTCAGAAAAGTAATGTCTCTACTTTTTAATATGCTGTCTAGGTTTGTCATGGCTTTCTTCCAAGGAGCAAGTGTCTTTTAATTTCATGGCTGCGGTCACTATCTGCATGATTTTGGAGCCCAAGAAAATAAAGTCTGTCACTGTTTCCATTGTTCCCCCATCTATTTGCCATAAAGTGCTGAGACCAGCTGCCGTGATCTTCATTTTTTGAATGTTGAGTTTTAAACCGGCTTTTTCACTCTCCTCTCTCACTTTCATCAAGAGGCTCTTTAGTTCCTCTTTGCTTTCTGACATAAGGGTGGTGTCATCTGCGTATCAGAGGTTATTGATAGTTCTCCCTGCAGTCTTGATTGCAGCTTGTGTTGTATCCAGCCCAGCATTTCTCATGATGCATTCTGCATATAAGTTAATTAAGCAGGGTGACAATATACAGCCTTGATGTACTATTTTCCAAATTTTGAACCACTCCGTTGTTCCATGTCTGGTTCTAACTGTTGCTTCTTGACCTGTATACAGATTTCTCAGGAGGCTGGTAAGGTGGTCTGGTATTCCCATATCTTTAAGAATTTTCCACATTTTGTTGTGATCCACACAGTCAAAAACTTTAGCATGGTCAATGAAGCAGAAGTAGATGGTTTTCTGGAATTCTCTTGCTTTATCTATGATTCAACAGATGTTGGCAATTTGATCTCTGGAGAACTCCATGGGCTGTATGAAAAGGCAAAAAGATATGACCCTGCAAGATGAGCTCACCTGGTTGGAAGGTGCCTGATATGCTACTGGAGAAGAGAGGAGGGCAATTACTACTAGCTCCAGAAAGAATTAAGAGGCTGGGCCAAAGCGGAAGCATCACTAAGTTGTGGATGTGTCTGGTGGTGAAAGTAAACTCTGATGCTGTAAAGAACAATATTGCATAGGAACCTGGAATGTTAGGTACATGAATCAAGGTAAATTATATATGGTCAAGCAGGAGAGGGCAACACTGAACATTGATATCTTAGGAATCAGTGAACTAAAATGGACAGCAATGGGAGAATTTAATTCAGGTAACCATTATATCTACTACTGTGGGCAAGAATCCCTTAGAAGAATTGGAACAGCCCTCATAGTTAACAAAAGAGACTGAAGTGCAGTACTTGGGTTCAACCTCAAAAATGACAAAATGATCTCAGCTTGTTTCCAAGTAAACCGTTCAATATCACAGTAATACAAGTCTATGCCCCAACCACTGATGCCAAAAAGGCTGAAGTTGACCATGTTTATGAAGACCCACAGCACCTTCTAGAAGTAACACCAAAAAAAGATGTCCTTTTCATCATAGGGGATTGGAATGCAAAAGTTGGAAGTGAAGAGATACCCAGAATAACAGGCAAGTTTGGCCTTGGAGCACAAAATGAAGCAGGGCAAAGGCTAACAGAGTTTTGTCAAAAGAAAACACTGGTCATAGCAAACACCCTTTTTCAACAACAAGGGACGACTTTACACATGGACATAACCAGACAGTCATACAGAAATCAGATTGATTATATTCTTGGCAGCTGAAGATGGAGAAGCTCTATACAGTCAGCAAAAACAAGACCAGCAGCTGAATATGGCTCAGATCATGAGCTCCTTATTGTAAAATTAAGGCCTAAATTGAAGAAAGTAAGGAAAACCACTAGATCATTCAGGTATGACCTAAATCAAACCCCTTATGATTATACAGTGGAGGTGACAAATAGATTCAAGGGATTAGATCTGGTAGACAGAGTGCCTAAAGAACTGTGGACAGGTTCATGACATTGTACAGAAGGCAATGGCAAACACCAACCCCAAGAAAAAGAAATGCAAGAAGGCAAAGTGGTTATCTGAGGAGGCTTTACAAATAGCTAAGGAAAGAAGAGAAGCGAAAGCCAAGAGAGAAAGGGTAAGATATACCTGAATGATTGTAGAACTCCAGAGAATAGCAAGGAGAGATGAGAAGGATTTCTTAAGTAACCAATGCAAATAAATAGGGAAAACAATAGAATGGGAAAGACTAGCGATCTTGTCAAGAAAATTGGAGATACCAAGGGAACATTTCATGAAAAGATGGGCACAGTAAAGGACAGAAAAGGCAAGGACCTAAAAGAAGCAGAGGAGATTAAAAAGAGGTGGCAAGGATACACAAAGCTATACAAAGAAGGTCTTAATGACCCGGATAACCACAATGGTGTGGTCACTCACTTAGAGCCAGATATCCTGGAGTGTGAAATTAAGTGGGCCTTAGAAAGTATTAGTATGAACAAAGCTAGTGGAGGTGATGAAATTCCAGCTGAGTTATTTAAAATACTAAAAACAATGATGCTGTTAAAGTGCTATACTCAATATGTCAGCAAATTTGGAAAACCTAGCTATGGCCGCAGGACTGGAAAAGGTCAGTTTTCATTCCAATCCCAAAGAAAGGCAATGCCAAAGAATGTGCCAACTACCATACACTTGTGCTCATTTCACATGCTAGCATATTAATGCTCAAAATTCTTCAAGTTAGGCTTCAACAATATGTGATCTGAGAACTTCCAGATGTACAAGCTGGATTTAGAAAAGGCAGAGGAACCAGAGATCAAATTGCCAACATCTGTTGTATCATAGAAAAAGCAAGGGAATTTCAGAAAAACATCTACTTTTGCTTCATTGACTACACAAAAGCTTTTGTGTGGATCACAACAAACTGGAAAATGCGTAAAGAGATGGGAATACCAGACCACCTTAGCTGCCTCATGAGAAACCTGTATGTAGGTCAAGAGGCAGCAGTTAGAACTGGACATGGAACAACTATGTGGTTCAAAATTGGGAAAGGAGTGTGACAAGGCTGTATATTGTCACCCTCCTTATTTAACTTATAGGCAGAGTACATCACTCAAAATGCTGGACTGGACAAATCACAAGCTGGAATCATGATTACTGGGAGAAATATCAACAACCTCAGAAATGCAGGTGATACCATTCTAATGGCAGAAAGCGAAAAGGAACTAAAGAGCCTCTTGATAAGGGTGAAAGGAGGGTGAAAAAAACTGGCTTAAAACTCAACATTCAAAAAAACTAAGATCATGGCATCTGGTCCCATCACTTCATGACAAACAGAAGGGGAAAAAGTAGAAGCAGTGACAGATTTTCTTTTCTTGGGCTCCAAAATCACCACGGATGGTACTTGCAGCCATGAAATTAAAAGACGCTTGCTCCTTGGAAGGAAAACTATGACAAACCTTGACAATGTATTAAAAAGCAGAGACATCATTTTGCTTACAAAGGTCTGATAGAGCTGTGATTTTTCCAGTAATCATGTACATATGTGAGAACTTGACCCTAAAGAAGGCTGAACACTGAAAAACTGATGCTTTTGAATTGTGGTGATGGAGAAGACTCTTGAGAGTCCCTTGGATTGCAAGGAGATCAAACCGGTCAATCCTAAAGGAAATCAACACTGAATATTCACTGGAAGGACTGTTGTTGAAGCTGAAGCTCCAATATTTTGGCTGCCTGATGAGAAGAAATGACTCGTTGGAAAAGACCCTGATGCTGGGAAAGATTTAGGTCAGTAGAAGATGAGGGTGGCAGAAGATGAGATGGTTAGATAGAATCACCATTGAGTTGAAAGATAGTGGAGGACAGATGAGCCTGGTGTGCTGCAGTCCATGAAGTCCCAGAGTCAGACTGGACTTAGCAAGTGAATATCAACAACAGCATATATAATTAAATTACTTTACTGTACCTGGATCTAACACAATATTGTAAATCAACTATACTTCAATATTTAAAAACATAAATAACACAAGAGGTAATAAGTCCTGACAAGATTGTGGAGAAAAGAGATTAATAATAAATTATTATCAGTACAGGGCTTATAGAAAGTAGTATTGCAGTTTCTCAAAGTATTAAAAACATAACTACCTTATGCTCCAGCAATTCCATTCTGGGTATATATAGCTATAGGACATGAAATCAGGATCTTGAATATGTATCATCACTCTCATGTTTCTTTCAGCATTATTCACAGTAACCAAGATATGGATGTAACCTAAATGTCCCTCCGTGGATTAATGGGTTAAAATGTAATATTTTTATATACAAATACAATGGGATATTGTTCAACCTTTAAAAAGAAGGAAATCTTGCCAGTCGTAATAATATGGATGAACCTGGAAGACATTATGCTAAGTTAAATAAGCCAGACACAGAAAGACAGTATTGTATGTCTTAATTTATATGTGGCATCTAAAATAAACTCAATCCCCAGGAGAAGGAAATAGCAACCCACTCCAGTATTCTTACCTGGGCAATCCCATGGACAGAGTAACCTGGTGGGCTACAGTTCATGGGGTCACAAAGAGTTGGACCCCAAACTTCTTATTGGGGTTGGACTGCAAGAACTTGGACTGCTACAACAAATCCACAAATTGTGTGAATTAAGAAACTTAATCTGTCACAGTTCTGGAGTCTAGAATTCCAAAATCAGTGTATTGGCAGGGCCATGGTCTCCTGAAGCCTCTAGAAGAGAATCTTTCTTTACCTCTTCTTAACTTCTAGTGATTACAGGCATTCCTTGGCATTCCTTCACTTGTAGACACATCATTCCAATCTCACCCTCTGTCAGCACTTGCTGTTCTCTCCTGTGACTGTGTCTGAATTCTGAATTTCCCTCTTCTTATAAGGACAGTAGTCACTGGTTTAGGGCCTACTCTAAATCCACTGTGTGTGTGTGTGTGTGTGTGTGTGTGTGTGTGTCGCTCATTCGTGTCCGACTCTTTGTGACCCCACAGACTGTAGCTCGCCAGGCTCCTCTGTCCATGGAATTCTCCAGGCAAGAATACTGGAGTGGATTGCCATTCCCTTCTCCAGTGAATCTTCCCGATGCAGGGATCAAACCCAGGTCTCCTGCATTGTGGGCAGATTCTTTACTGTCTGAGCTGCCAGGGAACCCCAATCCATTATGACCACATCTTAAATTGATTGCATCTATAAAGATCCTATTTTCAAATAAGATCACATTCACAGATACTAGGTATTTGAACATATTTTGGCAAGGGACATAATTCAGCATACAACACATACTCACTCAGGGTTGTGTGCATCAAAGTTTCCTTATACAATAAGATGCACATAAGGAATATAAATCCCATTTCCTCTACTGCTGAACCAAAACAATGTCCATTTTACATATGTTTATATTATGTAGCCAATTGTACCATGAAACTCAGTATTCTACTCAGAGTTCTTCATTTCTTCCATTTGTCCTATAGAATCTTGAACACTATAGGAGAGCTCACTTGTAACTCTATACTAGAAGGATCTGTTTAGGAAGTTGTCTCCTACAGTAGACTATGAGCTCCTTGAGGGCAAAAACTATGGATCATGCATCTCTACATCTCTAGTTCTTAGCTTTGTAGATGACACAAAGTAGCTTTTAGTAATTATTGGAGGAGGGGGGAAGCTGGAAGGAAGGAAGGTACTTGTAGAGTTATAATTTTGTGGCTTGGGAAATGGAAAGGTGCTGGTTGCTCAGTATGTCAAGACCAAGTCTATCTCATTTCCTCATGACTCTCCACTCTCTACTCTGATCTTGGAACTTTACCAAGATCTCAATATGAAAAAAATAATACAATCACAAAGTGACCTCATACTAGATGAGCCTTTGTCTCATCCAAGTAGCTTTTCCTTCCAGAAGCTTCCTGGTCAACAGCAGTTTAGAACATAAATAGCATGCCAGAGAGGGAAGCAGGGTTCAAAGAGTACCACATACAGGCTATGTTTTAGATGACTAATTCCTATAAATTAATCAAAGTTGAAGACTAAATGTGCTAGGTCCCTCAATAGTGCCCTCTCTGCTCCCCCTCTTTTTTCCTCTCTCTCATATCCTTCTCTCTCTCTCTCTCTCTCTCTCTCTCTCTCTCTCTCTTGGACCACTATCAGGAAGAATGTGTATTTCATTTTAAGGTCTTATGCCTTTACATGCCCAAATGATTATAACATCAAGAATAAATAGCTGAATGTGTATACCTATGTCTACATTCCAGAGGAAGGCAGAGGAAGAAGAGATTAGGCATTCACAGGAATTAGAGAAAAGGTGGAAGTGTCCTGTGGAATGCACACCCAGAATAAATTGGGGGGGTTTTGGTGCCCACCCCTCCCCCTTCTCCTTTTAACCCCGAAACTAGTTGTTGTTATACACTGTGCCTGCCCAACAGTCATGAGAAATAGGCTGTGTTAAACAAATGCAGCATTTACAGGCAGGTTAATAGTAAACATCAAATTCAATACCATGAAAGAGGGACACCAAACAGAATGCCGTTTCAAGAGGGCAGAGACTTTGTCTTATTCATCACTATATCCCCAGTGCCTTGAAACGTGCCAAGCACATAGTAGTTACTCGGTAAATATTTAATGAATTTTGAATGAATTGAATTGATTAACCAGCAAATTTCTATAGGCAGTCAGAGCATGGTATTCAGAAAAGAATGCTTTGGCCAGAAGCTTCTGAAATGAAACTGTTGTCCCAGCAATGCAGTTCTCTACTCACTTGGCAGCAGTAAGCCAGGAAGGGTAATATATATCTTCAGGAGGAAGCTAAAGCCTGACAAGCATTCCTTAGCCCAGGGTCAGAGCCCTACTTCCTCTCTTTCTTGCCTGGTCAGAGGATTTGGACCCATGCACCCTGCACTGGGAGTGTGGAGTCTTAATCACTGGACTGCCAGGGAATTCCACCCCCTCATTCTTTTTCCCTTTTCCAAAACCACTGGGGAAAAAAATAGAGATGGGAGGTTTATTAAGTGTCAGCTCAACTTTGATTCTAACTCTTCACATGCTCTGACACCTTATATAGCTGGCCATTTCACCCTTAGCATCAGGTTTTCTGGCTTTCCCTAATCCATCTCTGTGATTAACTCTCTATTCTTTGTTCTCTTTTATTTATTTTAGATACCTGCAGCAGAAAACAACCCTTTTCTTACTGGAATGCACTACTGGTATTCGAGCCACAGTCCCCGGACCCAGCACTGCAATGTTTGTCGGGGGAGCATTCCTGCCTTATCTCAAAATGTTATCATCTGTGAAGGTAACTTTCTGATTCCTTTAGGAAGTGGAGCTCAGTGGGTGGAGACAGGGGTGAAAAAGTTCATGTGGCTTTAGTATCATTGACTCAAACCACATGACTGACTCTAGTGTAAGATTAAACATGATATTTAACAGACTGGGAAAAGAAGATGGGAGGAAACTGGCATGAGGGAGAATTTTCATGAATCAAAAGAGAGGGTTGGATCTGGGAGGACTAGACAATACAGTCACATGGTTGAAAGAAAACAAACAAACAGAAAATCACCTCTTTTTTATCATCAATTTCCATTCAAGTTGGGTGGTAGAAAATTTGGCCAGGAAGAATAAAGAGAAACTGAAATATATGGAAAATAAGCCTTTGGAGTTAAGTCGTAACTACTTAGATGCATCTAGGTTCTAGCTTTTAGAGCAGCTTAGGGAAAGAAATTAGAATCTTCATTGTCACCAGATTAACATCCATCTTTTTTTCTTCTTTTTACAGTGTGCAAAGTAAAGTCTCACAGATTATGTGCTTTAAGAGCAAACAAAGATTGCAAATGGAATACATTATCCATTACTGATGACCTCCTCATGCCTGCAGATGAAGTAGTGAGTACCAGCCATGCTTTCTCGTAATCACCCTTTTACATCTCCCCTTCAGTCAGGACACACAGACAACCCAAGTAGGTGTGTTCCCTAAACTCATGACCCAACAAATCTATAAGAATGAAAGCCTCCTCCCATCTCCCACCTGTCATTGGTCACTAGTATCGAAGTAGGGAGAGCAGGACAATGGAGAACTTCCTTAGGGTTATCTAGTGTCCTCCAGGGGGTAGTACGGTTATCCCAGCTGGCCTTCCTCTCTTTATATCTCTAACTTCTATATTTTGTCTCTTTCTATCCTTCAGAAAACCATGCCTCATCAGTGGGTAGAAGGAAACATATCTGCCAGTTCTCAGTGCGCAGTATGTCATGAGAACTGTGGCAGTTACCAGAGACTTCAAGATTTCCGGTGTCTCTGGTGTAATTCTACGGTAAGACTCTTCTCATCTACTTGATACTTAAGAGAATTGACTTCTAGAGAAGGGGTGGATTGGAGGTTGATTGTGCCTGCATATAGATAGAAATCTCAGTGACCCTTACTCAGATATAGATTATACAGATTCTATAGTATAGAACTCAATATCCTACCTTTCTAAAATTTGCTATGGAATCTTTGAGAGAAAGATGCAATACTCCCTCTTATCTTTGAGGGTCTTAAATGATGAAGCCTGCTAGCAAATGGGAAGAGCTGAACTCTTTTATGACATTATGGTCAATTAAAAAATTTGTTCTCAGTATACCCTTAAGAAACCTCCTGCTTTCCTCATTTATCATTTCCTAGGAAATTGTAATCTTTGTTAATTAATAATTGTTAATAATATTAGTACATTATTACTGCCACTATGTATTATTTTATATACATGACCTCATTTAATCTTACAACAACCCTAAACCAACCCTCATTGTCCCTATTTACAGAAGGGGAAAGTGAGGTTCAGAAAAGTGAAGTGATTTGCTCAAGGTCATGCAGCCAGTAAGCAAAACAGTCTTGATTTATACATAATTGTGCAAAAAACTGTGCTCTTAACTACAACATTACCATACCTTTAAACCAGTGGTTCTCAGCTGGGATTATTTTCTCCCACCCCCAGGATACATTTGACAATGTCTGGAGAATTTTTTGTATCCAATGATATTCTGATGAAATTTTTTTCTATTTATTGAAGTATAGATGTCTTATAATATTATATAAATTTCAGGGCTACAAAGTGATGATTCACAATTTTTTAAAGTTTATACTCCATTTATACATATTATAAAATATTGCCTATATTCCATGTGTTGTTCTATATATCCTTGTAGCTTATTTATTTCATATATAATATTAATAATTTGTACCCCTTAATACCCTACACCTATCATCACCTCCCCTCTTCCTTCTCCTCACTAGTAAACACAGGTTTGTTCTCTATACCTGTGAGTCTATTTCTTTTTTGTTATATCACTAGTTCATTTTTTAGATTCTGTATTTAAAAGATAATACACAGTATTTGTCTTTCTCTGTCTGACTTATTTCACTTAGCATAATACTCTCAAGGTCCATCCATGTCAGTGCAAATGGCAAATTTTCATTCTTCTAAATGTCAGAGTACTATTCCATTATATATAACAGAAAAAAAAGAACTTTTTAGCCACTCCAACTTTTACATATGTAACAATTGTTCTTTATCAATTCATCTGTTGATGGGCACTAAGTAAGGATGCTTCCATATCTTCACTATTACAAAAAATGCTGCTGTGAACATTGAGGTGCATGTATATTTTTGAATTAATGTTTTCTTCAGATATATAGCCAGAAGTAGGATTGGTGGATCCTAGGAGCCTAGCAAGCTATAGTCCATAGGGTCACAGAGTTGGACACAACTGAAGTGACTGAACACGCATGTGAAACCTCTATGTTTAGTTTTTTGAGGAACCTCTATACTGTTTTCCATAGTGGCTGTACCAGTTTACATTCCCACCAACAGTATACTAGGGTTCCATTTTCTCCACATCCTTGCCCACATTTGTCATTTGTGGTCTTTTTGATGATAACCATTCTGACAGGTGTGATGTGATATCTCATAGTGGCTTTGATGTGCATTCCCCTGATAGTTAGTGATGTTGAGCATCTTTTCATGTGCCTGTTGGTGTTCTATATATCTTCTTTGGAAAAATTGTCTATTTGGGTCTTCTGCCCATTTTTTTATTGGAAGATAATTGCTTTAGAATGTTGTGTTGGTTTCTACTGTACAAAAACATTCATCAGCCATAAATATAATATATATATTTATTTAGGCTCCCTCTTGAGCCTCCCTTCCATTTTTTAATTGGGTTGTTTTAAAATATTGAGTTGTATAAGCTATTTATATAGTTTGGATATTAACCCCTTATTGGTCATATCATTTGCATATAGTTTCTTCCATTCTGTAGGGTGTCTTTTCATTTTGTTGATGGTTTCCTTTGCTATGCAAAAGCATTTAATTTTAACTGGATCCCATTCATTTATTTTTGCTTTTATTTCCTTGCCTTAGGAGACAGATAAAAAAATATTGTTATAATTTATGTCAAAGAGTGTTTTGCCTATATTCTTTTCTAGTAGTTTTATGGTTTCAGGTCTTATATTTAGGTCTTAAATCCATTTTGAGTTTACTTTTGTATATGGTATGAGAAAATGTTCTAATTTCACTTTTACATGTAGTTGCCCAGTTATTTCAGTACCACTTATTGAAGAGACTGTCTTTTCTCCATAGTCTAGTCTTGCTTCCTTTTTTGTAGATTAACTTATCATAAGTGTGTGGGTATATTTCTGGGCTCTTTATTTTGTTCCAGTGATCTATATGTCTGTTTTAGTGCCATTACTATTGCCTATTGCTCTGTAGTAAGGTCTGAAGTTAGGGAGTACTTCTTTCTCAAAAATTTTTTGGCTTTCAGGGTCTTTTGTCCCATACAAATTTTAGAATTATTTGTTCTAGTTCTGGAAAAATGCCATTGGTATTTTGATAGGGATTGCATCAGACCTGTAAATTCCCTTGGGTAATATGGTCATTTTAACAATTTTAGTTCTTGCAATCCATGAAAAAGGTATATCTTTCCATCTGTTTGTGTTGTCTTTCATCAGTATATAAGTACAGGTATTTTTACCTCCTTAGAAAAGTTTATTCTTACATATTTGATTCTTTTTGATGTTATTGTAAATAGGATTTGCCCATAATTTTCTGATGGTCCATTGTTAGTGGATAGAAATTCAACAGATTTTCGTATAATTAATTTTATATCCTGCAACTTTACCGAACTCATTGATGAGCTCTACTTGTTTTCTGATGGTGTCTTTAGGATTTTCTATATATAATATCATGTCATCTGCACATAGTGACATTTTTACTTCTTCCTTTCTAATGTGGATTCCTTATAATTCTTTTTTTGTCTGATTGCCGTGGCTAGGAATTCCAATACTGTTGAATAAAAACAGTGGGAATGTCTTTTCCTGATTGTCTTTTTCCTGATCTTAGAGGAAATGCTTTCAGCTTTGTGCTACTGTTGAATATGATGTTAGCTGTGGGATTATCATATATGGCCTTTATTATGCTAAGGTATGTTCCCTCTATATACACTTTCTGGAGAGTTTTTTTATCGCAAATGGATGTAGAATTAAAGAAAGCTGAATGCCAAAGAATAGATGCTTTTGAACTGTGATGTTGGAGAAGACTCTTGAGAGTCCCTAGGACTGCAAGGAAATCAAACCAGTCAATCCAAAAGGAAATCAGTCTTGAATATTCATTAGAAGGACTGATGCTGAAGCTGAAGCTCCAATGCTTCAGCTACCTGATGCAAAGAACTGACTCACTGGAAAAGACCCTAATATTGGGAAAGACTGAAGGCAGGATTAGAACAGGATAATAGAGGATGAGATGGTTGGATGTCATCACCAACTCAATGGACATGAGTTTGAGCAAACTCCGGAAGTTGGTGAAGGACAGGGAAGCCTGGCGTGCTGCAGTCCATGGGGTCACAAAGAGTTGACCATGAGTGAGCGACTGAACTGAACTGACTGAACTGAAAATTCACCTGTGAAGCTATCTAGTCTTGGACTTTTGTTTCTTGGAAGTTGTTTCATTACTGATTCAATTAAATTATTGGTAGTTGATCTGTTCATATTTTCTATTTCTTCCTGGTTAAGTCTTGATAGATGGTACATTTATAGGAATTTGTCCATTTCTTCTATGTTGTCCATTTTATTCGTATATAATTATTTGTAGGAGTCTCATTATCCTTTGCATTTCTATGGTATCAGTTGTAACTTCTCCATTGTCATTTATAATTTTATCCATTTGGGCCATCTCTCTTTTTTCTTGATGAGTCTGGCTAAGGGTCTATCAATTCTGTTTATCTTTTCAAAGAACTAACCCTTAGTTTTATTGATCTTTTCTATTGTATTTTAGTCTCCATTTTATTTATTTCTACTCCAATCTTTATGAATTTTCCTCTACCAACTTTGGGGTTTGATCTCTTTATCTACTTCTTTTAGGTGTAAGGTTAGTTTCTTTGAGATTTTTTTTCTTTTTTTATTAGGTAACTTATATCACTATTAAATTCTCTCTTAGAACTGCTTTGCTATGTCTCATATATTTTGGATTGTGTGTTTTCATTTTCATCAGTCTTCAGCCATTTTTTTTAATTTCTCTTTGGGTTCTTCAGTGATCCATTGGTTGTTTAGTAACATATTGTTTAGCTTCCACATGTTTCTGTTTTTCACAGGTTTCTTTTTCTTTTTTTTTGCTTTTAGTTGGTTTCTAGTTTCATAATATTGTGAAAAGAAAAGATGCTTTATATGATTTCAATTTTCTTAAGTTTACCAAGGTGCCTTCCTTGTGGCCCAGATAGTAAAGAATCAGCCAGCAATGCAGGAGACCCAGGTTCAATGCCTGGATTGAGAAGATCCCCTGGAGAAGGGAATGGCAACCCAATCCAGTATTCTTGCCTGGAGAATCCCATGGACAGAGGAGCCTCGTGGGCTACAGTCCATGGGGTCACAAAGAGTTGGACATGACTGAGCAACTAAGAACATATACACACGCAAGTTTACTAAGGTTTGTTTTGTGATCTAGTATGTGATATATCCTGGAGAAAGTTCCTTGTACACTTGAAAATATGTGTATTCTGCTGCTTTTTGATGGAATATATACACATATATATTTTCCACATTCTCTAAATGTCTTTTAAGTGTTTATTTCCCTTCTGGATGATCTGTTCATTGGTGTAGTGGGGTATTAAAGTCCCCTCCTATTATTGTGTTACTATCAGTTTCTCCTTTATGTCTGTTAATATTTACTTCGTGCATTTAGGTGCTCCTATGTTGGGTGCATATATATTTACAGTTGTTATACCTTCTTCTTGGAATGATCCCTTTATCATTATGAACTATCCTTCTTTCTCTCCTGTAATAGCTTTT